GAACTTGTGACTTAGAAATTATGTAATCACTTAATCACAATCAAAAAAAAAAAGAAGTTTGGGGAAGGGAGGGAGGGAGGGGATGGTAGGGGGAAAACAATGGAGGGGCTAACAATGTTCAAGAGGAAGTGTACTCATTACCTCACTCATGTATCTGTAACCCTCTATATAGTACCTTTACAATAAAAAAATTAAAATTAAAAAAAAAGATAAAAAGAAAAAAAAATCGTGAATTCCATTTTTAAAGCTCAGTACCACAAGGAGCTGCAGATATAGTTCAGTGGTGGACTCCTTGCCTAGTATGCATAAATTCAACCCTTGGTACATCAAGAAAAGTAAAAATGAGCTAAATGTGGTATACACATTCCTTTCATACTACCATTTGGGAGATGGAAGCAGGAAGATAATTAGTCCTGCCTGGGCTACCTCATGAGACTCTGTCTCAAAAATAAAGAAATAAATAGAATTAAATTAGGTGTAGCACATGCACTGAGCATCAGATTCAGCAAAGACCTGCACTACCATGCTTGTCAATGCTGACTAAATCATGGCACCTTGGACTGAGGTCATTTATTTGAATGTCTGGACTACACCAAGGGCTTTATGAGCAGAGAGCTATGGTTTCAGTAACCTTCAAGGTGGATATTATTCTTACCTTAAGATAATCATACTAGCATAGCCAATTGCCAATGGCTCACACCTATAATCCTGGGAACTCAGGAAGCTGAGATCTGGGGAACAGTTGGAAGCCAGCCCAGGCTGAAAAATCCATGGACTCTTTATTTCCAGTTAACCACCAAAAAGCCAGAAGTGGAGGTATGGCTCAAGTGGTAGAGCTCCAGCCTTGAGCATAAAAGCTAAAGGACAATATCCAGGCCCTGAGTTCAAGCCCCAGTACTGCTCCTCTTCTTTCCTCACCCCCCCCCAAAATAAAGCATACCAGTTAGGAAGTAGCAGAACAGCGCTATATAGTAGGGTAGGTTCTGCCTTAAGTTGTAGGAGTTTCAAACACCAGAATGTAACCACTGACTCCATGGTTCCATTTCAGGAGCGCCATGAAGCTGTGGTACGACGTACAATGGAAAGAAGCCAGAAACCAAAGCAGAAGTATAACCGGTGGTCATGGGGGGGGCCTCTGCATGGGAGCCCCAGTATCCGCAGCGCAGGTAACCATCCAGCACCACTTCCAGATGTCTTTTTTGTAAGGGTACATTTGCTTTTTTATTTTCCCCCCAAATCTGTGGTTGCAAAATGAATATCCTACTGAACTCTTGGAACTCCAATTAACTGATGTTCCCACTGGAAGAGGAGTAGGGGTAAGATAGGCCCTCTCCATTCCCTTAGCACATTTTGTGTTGCGAAATCCTTAGAGAAACCTATGCAGCATTTCTAGACTAGATTTTAGGAATTCATTTGCATAAGGGTTTCAGGGCTGTGGAATAAGTTAACCAATGTTTATTTTTTTCTCCCTGGGAGAATCATAGTAATATGAATGGGACCAAAATCAATACTATCAGCATGTGTATTCTGTCCCTAAAGTAAAGACTAATGCTTTTATAAAAATGAACAGGCAGGCAGCTTAGGCTAAAAGTAGTCATGTGTCAAAGCTTGCTCTTCTTTCTTGGATGGACTTAAAATCATATTGAAATTGGAAATGTTTTACATTTGTAAATTCAATACACCCTGAATTTTACATAGCATGCAGGTTCTTTTCATTTGTGTGAGTCTTAACAATTTATTTTTGTATGTATTTATTTTTAGTATTTACTTTGAAAAAAATCATGTGTTACATTCTGTCCTCAGGTGGTTTTGTTGAGTCATCTTTGTCGATTTAGCAGGCTTGGACCACCACTTCACAACTTTGGGTGGTACTAGAAAATATGGTACAAACATTCCTGTGGTTGCTGACTGCCTGCCCCATAGTTAGCACCTCAGACCACGGGCCAGTTCATCCCTAGCTGAACCATCATACCTTAGCCATAATGCATGATTACTATCTTCCTACTGTATAGACCTAGATCTGGGATTCACACAGTGTTTCCTAAGTCTGATAATGTGACATGGGTGACTAAAAGGTGTTGAAATAATTACTGTGGCATATTTGCTTCCCCTTTAAATGATAACTTTTAATAAAACCTTCAAAAAATATCTTTTAGGCCAGACTCCCTGTGGCTCATACCTGTGATCCTAGCTTCTCAGGAGGCTGAGATCTGGAGGATTGCAATTCAAAGCCAGTCCAGGCAAAAGAATTTGTGAGACTTCATCTCCAAAATAAGCAGCAAACTATATAAATATATATACAGTCTAGCTTGTTTTTCTGCTAATTCTGAAACATAACTAAATGGTTTGGTTTGGTTTTGTTGGGTCCCAGACCAGGACTCTGTATGTGACTCTTGTGTTTGCTCATTGGCTAGCATTGTACCACTTGAGCCACGCTTCCAACCCCCAAAATTAAGTATTTTTAATTACTTGTTGAAGACAGGCGTTATACAGGTTTCCTCCAACTAAAACTTAACATCTAAAAAGCAACATTACACAATAAAAAAATGAAAAAAAATAAAAAGCAACATTAGAAAAATGTAAGAATGAAAGCCGGGCACCGGTGGCTCACGCCTGTAATCCTAGCTACTCAGGAGGCTGAGATCTGAGGATTGTGGTTCAAAGCCAGCCTGGGCAGGAAAGTCTGTGAGACTCTTATCTCCAGTAAACCACTTGAAAACTGAAAGTGGCGCTGTGACTGAAGCGGTAGAGTGCTCGCCTTGAGTTGAAGAGTGCAGGGACAGCGCCCAAGCCCAGAGTTCAAGCCTCACGACTGACAAAAAAGAAAAAAGAAAAATGTGAGAATGAGCCAGGCACTAGTGGCTCACACCTATAATCCTAGCTGCTCAGAAAGCTGAGATCTGAGAATCAAAGTTTGAAGCCAGCCCAGGCAGGAAAGGCTGTGAGACTCTTATCATTAATTAACTATTCAAACACACACACACACACAACACACACAGAGAGAGAAAGGGGGGGAGGGCAAAAAAGAAAAGAAAATGTGAATGGCTTTTGTTGGCCTTCCTTGGGCCCTGTGCCTCACATCTCATGATTGTATTCCTGTCTAGATCATTTTATTAGGAATCCTCTCCCCCCAAACCCACCAGTTAAGTATAAAAGTCATAGACAGGTGTTTGGTGGTTTGTTTCGTTTTTATTTTTTTAATATTGAGATGTTGTAACTATAATTTTTAAAACTCGGTTGAAGTTAGAAATGTTTAAAAGAGCTATTCTGTGAGGAAGTTCATTCCAGAATGTTTACTGCCAATGTTAGACCATTGGGAACTAGAATTGAGGGTATCAACGACAAAGAATATTTGTGTTTTAGTTGTATAAGCAGGCAACAACAGAAAATAAAATGATGCAGGCTATGTATGGTGGCACATACCTGTAATCCCAGGGAGGTGGGGGTAGGAGAGTAACAATATGAGGAATACCAGGACAAAAATATGAGACTCTGTCTGAGGGCAAAAATATGAGACTGTGTCCGAAATCAAAGCATAAGGGTCGGGCCATGGCTCAAGTGGTAGAGCACTTAAATGGAGGCCTTCCTGAGTTCAATGCATAAAAGAAAGAAATGTACTCATTACCTTGCTCATGTAACTGTAACCCCTTTGTACAGTATTTTCACAATAAAAAAACAATCAAAAAAGTTATCAAAAAAATAAAACTTCATCTTTAGCCATTGTGGATCAAAATATCTATCTACTAGACAAGTATATATTGAGGTTTGTAGACCTTTACCATATTTTCTTTAATTTGGAAACAGTTTTTATAGTGAGCATGATAAGAATTTGGTCCCACTGTACCAACAGTAAATTAGCTAAGGTAATTTTTACCTTTTTATCTGCTTTTTCAGATAGGTTCTTGACTAGCACACGCTGGCTTCAAGCTAATTATGTAGCACAAATGACCTCAGTCTCCCTACGTCAGCCTCCCCACTGCTGGCATTACAGGATGCACCACCACACCTAGCTGATTTTTTTTTTTTTTGGCATTTTTCATGGCTATTTTCCTTCTGACTTCAACTTTAAATATTATTATTTGGCTGCAGAATGAACACTAATAAGAACTCAAAGTTTTCTAATTTATGTCACCATCAGATCTGTTGGGCAAGTTTGTGAACTGTTCTGCCTTTACAGACCTAGAGCACTTGTCTTTCTTGTTTTTTTTGTTTTTGTTTTTGCAGTACTGTGAGTTGAATTCAGTACCTCACCCATAGTAGGCACAAGCGCTCTACTTCTGAGCTAGATCCTTTGTACTCTTACTGTTTTTCTACTTTGAGACAGGGTCTTGCTAAAATGCCCAAACTAGCCTCAAACTTTCAATCCTTCTGTCTCTCCCTCCCAAGGAACTGAGATTACAGTTGTGTACTACCATGTCCTGTCTTATTTTTTTAAAACTTCTGTGCTAAGCTGGATAAAATAATTTACAAGCAAAAGTACAGGCGAGCACACAGAACCAAATGTGCTTTCAACTCCAGAATTTTTGGTATATTTTACCCACACTGTTACCATCCACTGTTCTTGCCTGAAGAAGTTGAGAAGGTATTCACCATTCCAAGCTCCTCTCTCTGCTTGTAGTTGGTCTCTGTCATCTCTGGAGCCCTTCCTTGGCCTTCCTTTTCTCTTTGTCCACTTCAATTGTAATAATATTGTTGAATTTCAAGCTGTGGATCTGAATACTTATTTATTCTATAAGAAAAATGAATTTCATTTCTCACCTATGTTCCCTTTAATGTGTCTACTTAGAAAACTGCTGTTATGAAAGATCTAGACATAGAGCTGTTATCATTCAATCCTAGTCTCCCTCCATTACTGACCCAGGAAATTGCAATACTGCATGCTGTCAATTAGCATTATCTCCCTTTATCGTAGATCCAGACAGGCGGTCAGTTTCCACCATGAATCTTTCGAAACACGTCGATCCGGTCATTAGCAAGCGGCTCTCATCCTCCTCTGCGACTTTGCTAAATTCTCCAGATAGAGGTACAGTCAAAAAGGAAATTTAAAAAAATGTTTTGTTATTTTTAATGCTTTTTAAAAAACTTTTCAGATGTTTACAGATGAAAATATGCATCTGAAGTTGCTTTCCCTGCGTTTCTTAAATAGGAAGAAAAAACTTGCGAGTAAAAAAGCAATAAACGTCTGCGCAGCATTTGCCTTGTGACAAGACTGTTCCCCATTTTAGACCATGGCTGAATGTTGTATTTAGCAGTGATGAAGTGGTGCTTCTGTGGACTCTTTAGTAACAGTGTACAGCTCCCGAAACTACCCACTCTCCACAACATGAACATTGTTGCCTCCAATCATATTGCCTCTGGCTTTTCATCTGTACCTTGGAAATTCCAGGCTCTGATTTTCTCCTGTGTGTGATTGGGTTTTCAGTATCCATTCATTCACTCATGAAGGATTTGACCAACCTTCAAGAATACCATTATCATTTTAGCCTCCTGAAAAGTTTTATAATCACAGTCCCACAATTAACCTCTTTTCTGAGTTTTAAGTTTTATGCATCCTATGGATTTACAATACATGAATGTTGAGGTATTTATAAAGTAAAAGTTTTATTTTACATATACCATAGAAGGAACAATCAAGCTTATAATATAAGCTACTTGTTTTATGTTAATTAAGGTGAGTGTAAGTAAAACCAAAGAATTATTGTGTAATGAAAAAGCACATACTCTTTCAGAATAACAGATTGTGCTTATTTAAGGGCTTTATCTTAAAAGTAGACAGTTTCTGTGTTTATAATCTTTATAAGGAGCATAATGTGTGCATGTTCTGTATGTATGTCTTTATAAATTTGGTATTGTATAAAAGTTATCATGGTGTCATTGTAATGTATGTATGTAATATATGTAATTATATGAGTGTTGGTGTTATTTGATACTTTCTCATAAAGTAGTAAATGTTTGAACGATTTCCTATTCTTGCTTTTTAGCCAAAACTGTTCCTTTTAAAATTTAGCTTGTATTAATCATTGATATGAGATAGCAAGTCAAATTAGAAACTTTTCTAATTTTCTGTATTCTTTTTATATTCTTAGAACTGGGTGCTGATGGCTCACACATGTTATCCCAGTAAATTAGGAAGCTGAGATCTGAGGATCATAATTCAAAGCCAGCCCAGGCAGGAAAGTCTCTGAGATTCTTATCTCCAGTTAACCACCAGAAAACTGGAAGTAGAGCTATGGATCAAGTGGTAGAGTGCTAGCCTTGAGTGAAAAAGGTCAGGGAGAATACCCTGGTCCAGAGTTCAAGTCCTGGCCAAAGAAAAAAAAAAGTATTCTTAAATTTTGTTTCAGGCTGGGTGCTGGTATTTTATGCCTTTAATTCTAATAACTCAGGAGGCTGAGATTTGAGGATCGCAGTTCAAAGCCAGCCTGGTCAAGAAAGGCTATGAGACTCTTATCTCCAATTAAGCACCAGAAAACTGGAAGTGGAGCTCTGACTCAAAGTAGTAGTGTGATAATAACCTTGAGCAAAAGAGCTCAGGGACAATGCCAGACCCTGAGTTCAAGCCTCACAACTGACAAAAAAAAAAATACTCACAAAACCTTGTGTTTTCTAACTTATTCCTTTGATATAAATGTTATATTTTCTATGGGGTTTGTCACAGTATTTTAATTTTATGCTTTTGTGATCTGAAGCAACCGCAGGATTTTGTAAATCTTTTTTTGGTATGTGTGTTATATTGTAACTGTGTACTGGGATCTCACACTCTTGCCTAGCTTTTTTGTTCAAGTCTGGCACTTGACTACTTGAGCCACACCTCTACTTCCAGCTTTTTGTTGGTTCATTGGAGATAAGAGTCTCACGGAGGCCAGGCGATGGTGGCTCATACCTGTAATCCTAGCTACTCTGGAGGCTGAGATCTGAGGATCGCAGTTCAAAGCCAGCCTGGGCAGAAAAGTCTGTGAGGTTCTTATCTCCAATTAACCATAAGAAAACTAGAAGTGGCACTGTGGCTCAAGTGGTAGAGCACTTGCCTGAGGGACAGTGCCCAGGCCCAGAGTTCATGCCCCATGACCGACAAAAAAAAAAAAAAAGTCTTATGGACTTTTCTACCCAACTAGATTTGAACCATGATCCTCAGATCTCAACCTCCTGAGTAACTAGGATTACAGGCATGAGTCACCATTATCCAGCCAGATTCTTTTAAACTTTTACATTGAAATTAAACCTTGCTTACCATAGCCTCTTACAGTTCCATTGCTGAAATTAGGATGAGAGTAAGGAGATAGATAATAAATTGACAATGTCCTGTCCCTGCCCCCGTAGATTGACCATGCTTAATTGTCTATGTATGGTATGTTGGGGACACTGCATGATAACATCTAAGTGGCTATCTTGAGGTTATGTGATCTTAAAACTAAGAAAGATCCATTGGATGGAGCATCTATTCCAGCTAAAGTAACAGAGACCCTCTGAATATTCAGAAGAGGAATCAAAACTAAGCTCAACTGCTCCTCAGCACTTGGTTGCTACGCTGCACCGGAAGTTCTGCACCTTAGTCTGACTCAGTGGAAGAATGCACTGACCATTAGAGAAGTCAGAAGCAGAGGTAGCTTAGCTAGTTAGTGGATATCTGATAAACAATCTGGGCCATGATGAATTACACCTGGAAGTTGAATATCCAGCTAGACTGATAGAACAAGAAAGAGGACACATGAGAAGCGCTGTTTCTGTTGCCCTTTTCCAAAAAATATGTGAGTGTTCCTGTTCTTCCAGGAACATCACACTGGAAGGGGCTCCCATCAGGCACGTTCTGTGGGAAGATTTTTGTTGGTTTAGTTGGTTATTTTATTCATAGATTTTTTTTAATTATCTTTCAGTAGTTGTACAGAGGTGTTTGGATTCAACATGTCAGTTTATGAGTACAATTGCATCCTCATCAATGTCACCTGGCTTGTTTGTCTTTTTGTAACTTAGACAAAACCCTCAAGGTGTAGTGAGAGGCTTCAGGCCTTTGGTAACAGTAGAAATTCTTCTGAATTTGAATTTCTGCAATTTAGAAATATAATTATTTTCTGCTGGTTGTTTATAAAAGCTAATTGTGCCTTATTGTCTCATTAGAAAGCATTTGTTTTTACTAAGCTCTTGAGTTCAAAGCCTTTGTAGAGAAGAGGGTATGTGCACTAGATTGAGTTTTCTCAGTCCTGTGACAGAGGTCTTACATTTTAACTGATAGTAAATTGAGGCTGGGAAGCCATCAAGACTGATGGGCAGCAATAGTGCGTCTGAACAGCTCTGCAGTTATCAAATGCTAACATTCCGCTGTAGAACTTGGCAAATGGCCACCTCCCGAGATCTCATGTGCTGGTCTGAGCCTTTCAGAGCTAGTGGAAGCCAGTTGTAGGTCTGTGCCTATGCCCTTCTGGTGTTTAATATTTTGATGATTTCACTTGAATAGAGTGTTACATGACCTGATAAAATTACCTGATCAAACGAAAGCTTTGATTATTAAGTATTTTTTCACTTGCTACAACTATGATTGCCTTTGGAAATTTTTATATTACAAATATATAAGTTTTTAAAATTTTATGTCTCAAACTTGAGATCTTCCTGCCTCAGCTCCCAAGTGCTTGAATTTATAGGCATGTGCCACCAAGCCCAGCTATATCATTATGTTTTGTTGTTGTTGATTATGGGGCTTGAACTCAGGGCCTGAGTACTGTCCCTGAGTCACTTTGTATTCAAGGCTAGTGCTATACCACTTGAGCCACAGTGCCATTGCTGGTTTTTTGAGTGACTAATTGGAGATGAGAGTCTCACAGAGACTTTTCTCTATATCATTATCTTTAAGCTACCTACTTAATCAGGTTTTTCCCAACACAGGACAATAATGAGGTTGTTTTTAAGAGTCTTCATTTTAAAGTGAAGCTCTCTCTTTACTTAATTTACATATTTCCCCTAAAATCTCTGATATCAGAAGACAATGATAGACCTTGAGCTAAATTCTCTATTTAGCCTATGTAGTGCTTTATAATATTATTTGAATTAGTTGCCAACTTAAAACCTATGGAAAATTTCATATACTGCTTAGGTTTCCTTCTTCTAACAAAACAAATAAGGATCTGGCAACATTTGCCTAATTTCTACTTGGCACTCATTACATGAAACTGAATAGTGATTTTATTCTTCTGTAAGAATGTGGTAATGAAGATACTTGTTTCCTTAATCAGGGTTACTTATGTATGTTTACCTTCATGGCCTGAGGCCTTTGATTGGTCTCTTCTGACCTGGGTGGTCTGTCTTTCACGGAACTTGTAACCATCTCATTTTATTTTGTTTTGTTTTGTTTTTGTGGGTCGTGGGGCTTGAACTCTGGGCTTGGGGGCTATCCCTCAGCTCTTCAGCCCAAGGTGAACGCTCTACCACTTGAGCCACAGCGCCACTTCCACCATCTCATTTTAAAGTGATTAGATGGAACCAATTCCACATAGTCCCACTGTAATTAATACCTCCTGCTTAAGCTTTATAACGCTTCGAGTCAAGACCCTCTAGGTTAAAAAAAAAAAATGAGCTAACTCTCTACTAACCTGTACTAAAAAGTCTTCTAATGAAAGATAGAGCATTTGTTATGAATGTCGCAAAGTGGAGACATGTTTCTCTTAGCAATATTTCATTCATAGTCCTATGCTTTGCCTTATGTGCAAGTTAAAATGAGTTTGTAATTATCTTTATTTGAAACCGAATTCTGTGGTTGGTGCTTAATGACTTAGAAATAAAGTAATTTAAATTCTTACTGGAGAAAAGAAAAAAAACTAATCTTTTTGACGCTCTGTCATCTCTGTGGTTCTAAGCCACAATCATCCTACAGAAAAGGAAGCATCCGTCTTTCTTTCCTGTCTCACCTATTGAGCAGTTCTGTGGAAGATTTCCATTTCCTAATCACATTTGTCAATGGATTTCATTCTGTAAATTTAGGTTGTTGCTATATTCTGTTGTTGCTTACACTCCTACTGCCCTAATAGTATATAACCATACCTGCCATAGTACTTTCTACTGGCTTTACATATTTTAGTAATTTTCACAAGAGATCTCTTTTATTATGTCTTAATGCCAGTTAATATTTAGTTTAACCAAGGAGACTTAGAAAGCCCTTTTGGCTGCCATATATGCCATGAATCCATTACCTATCCTAATGCCCATCCAGTAGGTACTCCTTCAGGTTTTCCATACATGACAAGTCTGTAGATGAAATGACAGTTCTGCTTCAAGACCTGTTGACTATGAAAGAAAAGCGATTGGCAAAATCTGTGACTAAAAACTTGACATCTTAAGAAAAGGCAATGTCTGAGGGTAGCTGCTTCCCCTGGGCCGGGATCCTGTTCCCCTTACTCTCAGCCAGCTGCTCTCCTTGGAAAGGCTGATCTCTCTCCAAGGCCCAGCGTATGGAGGCAATAGCTAGGATGTCCTGCGCTCTCTGGACCCTGGAAAGAACACTCCTAACATATTGCTTATGTGGTGACATTTAGCTCGCCGCCTGCAGCTCAGCCCCTGGGAGAGCAGCGTTGTTAACAGACTCCTGACGCCTACACATTCATACCTGGCCAGAAGTAAAAGCACAGCTGCCTTGTCTGGAGATGCAGGTAAAGCCATCCAGGTGCCACTTTCCTGGTGAGGGAAAGTTCTCCTTCTGAAGCCTATCTGTGCTGCCCATGTTCATCAGACTTTCCTGGTGTTTGTTCCCTCTGCTCGGGTAGAAATGTCTGTTGGTGTGGGTTTCATGTCCCTGGCATTGTTTGCTCTTTACATCCGCTATGCATCTTATCTGGACACCAGACGCCAGGCAGATAGATGAAGCCCCTCCCTGTGATCAGATGGCTTCAGGTGCCACTATCTGTTCATGAACTTACCAGAAAAAAAAGTATTCCTTTACCTACTTTTCTTTCTACTCCTATATCTCAGATAATCAAGATATGATTTAATATTTAATACATATATGTGAGCTAAGAGAATAAGATCAACGCAAGCATAGAATTTCTTAACGTGGCTGGGGTTAACAGCCCCAGCCTTTCATGTGCAACTTAGGAGTTGTGGCAAAACTAATTAAACTAAAGGCCTTACTTATTTGCTGTAATCATTGAAAATATGTAGGCTGGGGCTGGGAAGGTGGCTCAATGGTAGAGTGCTTGCCTTGCATGCATGAGGCCCTGGGTTTGATTCCTCAAGCACCACATAAGCAAAAAGAAAAAAGCCGGAAGTGGCGCTGTAGCTCAAGTGGTAGAGTGCTAGCCTTGAGCTGAAGAGCTGAGGGACAGTGCCCAGGCCCAGAGTTCAGGCCCCACAACCGGACCCAAAACAAAACAAAAAAAAAATATGTAGGCTGGATGTGGTGGCACATTACATGCCCTGGAATCCCACCTATTGGGGAGCCAGAAGTCAGAGGATCTTGGTCTAAAGCTAGTCTAGACAAAAATACAAGAGTCTGTCAAAAAAAAACAAAAAACAAAAAAAACTGAAAACGGAAGGCCTTGGGGGTAACAATACTCAAGTAATACAAAGTTTGCTTACCAATCACAAAACTCTACCACCAAAAAATTTTTAAGAAAAATAGAGACCCTACCTAGTCCTGCCTATTACTAAAACCTCTTAAAAATGCAAAACATGCCTGCATGACTGAATTAGTTTAATGAAAAGTTAGTGTAGCATTTATATCTAGTGAGCTGATACAGATTTTGTTTTGTTTTTTAATAACATAACTCTCCTGGTAAAGTGACTTATTTCCCCAAATCTCTTTGGCAGAGTCAGAGTTGCATAGCCTCTTTAAAGAGTTCCCTTTAAAAAAGGCTTTGCCTCTGCAAGTCTCTTCATGTTGACTAGCCTGCTTAAAGAGTAATCCTTGGTGGTTTATGAAGTGTCTTTCATCTCTCGTGCCCAGTGAGCCAGCGAGCATCCACTGTACTTCTTAGAGACCTCTGTGAGTCAGTGAGGACGACAAGTATGGCTACTCTCACCATCTGGAAAACAGATGAAAGGGCAGTAAGTGACTCAGCAGAGCCCTTAGAAAGTTAGTGAACTGGGTCTTAATCATGGTCCTACCGACCTCTTGGCACTAACGCTCAGCTGAGATTTTTTTTTTCCTGGAGGAAAAAGCATGGCATTTCAAAAGAATTTATTATTTATGCCTATGGATTTCATACTTCGATGCAAGGCACCAAAGATTTTCATCATCGGTGAAGAACCTTGCAGACTGCCATTTCATAGGCTTTCCACAGTTGTCAGCTACCATGTGTCTAAAGTTCCACATTGGATGTTGTGTTGTGCTGAAATATGACCTCAGAGCTAAAACACTGTTTCTTTGCTATTTCTGTCATCACTAACTTTGTCAATTCTTTCATTCTTCTCTAGTTTCCCAGCGCCATTTCCTCATTTCCCCATTTCCCACCCATTTTACTTGTCTATCTCCCCCCTGCCTTCTTGGTGGTTGTGCTTAGTCAAGGTGCTTCTTATTTGCAATTTGGTTCTTCTTTTCTTTGCAATTTTTCCATTCTCCTTTTCACAAATGGTACATTTCTGTGATTTATTTCAGTGCTCAACAGGACAGAGCCTTTACTTGATTGAGTTGCCTTTAGTGTTAATCCGTTCCCAAGTTCATTGTTACCTGTTGCATTAACATTGCTTCTATTTAATAAAACAAAACTTGTGGTTTTCCATAATTTCAATCTAGGATTGTATATGTAAAATGTATCTCCCAGTTGTCTTTTCAAGGACACTTTTTCTGTCACTGGATTTTTTTATGTACTCTCTTTGATCGTTCTTTTCTTTCAGTTTTCTTTTTGTCTCTTGACTTCATCTGATTCCAAATTACCATTGGCAAAATGAGGGCCGTATCCCTAGCCGTGGTCACTGTAACAGATTAAGGCCACTGACCTAAGGCCTACACTCTTCAGTGGTTACAGCTGCTCCCATGAGCAAACGGTAAAGTCTCAGAGAATTAGAAATCCCAGCCCCATACCTCTCATATCCATTGCTGTGGGTTACTTTTTCATGCCCACTTTTTTCAGTACGTATTTTTCAAAGTGCATCTGATTCTTTGAGCTAGGGAGTAAGTAACTTAGTACATGTAAAATACTAAGTATAGTAATGGTAGTCTCTTAGTACATATTTGTGATCTACTGGGCAGTTTTTCTGTTCCTCATGCTATGCTCTGACCACTTAAACTTGAGCTCATTCTCGGATGAGATAAATTAATATACACTGACAATAAAAAATAGTAGAATATTTTCCCAAAGACATTTGTATGGGATAATGTTGATGCAAAATTAAACTACTTAGGTTATAAAGGATACTTTGGATAAAAAAATAAGTATATTTATTGCCCTCACTTGTTTCTTCAGAAGGGAAAGATTATGCAAATAATTCATTTGAAGACCTCTGGTTTTGCGATAGCTGCTGCTCAGGACTATAATGAATTCTAAGGAATTCTTAATGTTTTTTTAGCCAGTAGATATTCCTTGAACAATTAAATGTAAGTGTTTTTGTATAGAGTACAGTAGGTAGTTTAGAATATCTTGAACTTGTATTTCTGTCTCCTCAACACTACAGTGACGAATAAACCGAAAGGCATCATGAAATTATGTCACGTATCTCATGGTCTCAGCAAATGTTCCACAGACAGATCATAAAATTGCTATTTTCTATTGAGTGCCGTAGTGCATACCTATAATCTCAAAACATGGAAGGCTGGGGCAAGAGGACTCCGATGTCAGGCCATCCAGGGCTATATAGCAAGATTCTGCGTCAACAAGTCCAGAGGAAATAAAAGGAAATGGCAAACAGAAGAGAGGTGAAAATCATTACCAAGGAGGAAAGAAAGAAAAAAAAAGGGAGGAAGAAAAAAACATTTTATCATAATTCCAGGCTTCATTACTTTTTCATTGTCAGCTCTCAAGCAGAGCTATTTTCTAGGCTTTCTTGATCCTTTAGCAAGGTTAATGGCTTCTGGCTGAGCCTGGGGCATTGTATGTCTCCCTACCTGCTCATGAATCTGCAGAAACATCTTAGCAGGACATTATTTCTAGAATGCATTTGTTTGACACGGAAGAGTTTTGCACGAATATGCTCTTCCCTTGTCTGGGAATCCAAGTGCCTTGTTTTGGCACTTAAAGGTCATTTTCGGATAGTTTCTCCCATGATCAGAAGAAGCATAATACAAAAGATTCTTCTTTAGACAATACAAGTCATTCTTCGCATTAAGGTCAGAAGGAAAACTTTATATCAGCTCACAAGTAAAGCACACATGTTCTTTTTAGCAAGAATGAGAAAAAAAAACTGTACTTTTCATTTATCCTAAAAAAAAATATACTGCCTCACCCATTCAAGGGATAACCAGAAGACACTAAGAAGTATTTGGAAACATTTAATAAAGATTCAATCTAGAGCTGGGTTGTAACTCAGTGGTAGGATACTTGCCTACTATGAAAGAAGCTCCAAGTTCTGTCCCCAGCACAGCAAAAATTAAACAACAATCTGATCCATTCTTTGTTGATTAAACAAATATAACAAGTATTATTTTCTAAATGTCTCTCAGGTTATTCTAAACGAATTTTGAGGTTTTAATACAGTTTAAAATATTTTGCCAATTCTGGGATTTGAACTCAGGGCTTCATGCTTATTCAACTTGCTTGTTCAATTGGCTCTCTGCACTTGAGCCAAGTCTCCAGCCCCACTTTTGTTTTATTTTGTTTCATTCAATAGTTATTTTTGAGATATAATCTTACAAACTTTTTTGCCTGGCTAACTTGGAACCACAATCTTCCAAATCTCAATATTCTGAGTAGCTAGGATTCAAGTATGAACCACCAGTGAGTTTTTAATTTATTAATAAAATTATATTTACCTGACATATTATGTCTCTTTAAAGGGTTGCTACAATGGGTACAGTGTGGTAAAAATCATTTCATAACCTGGTCTGAATATATAGTCTTATCCTCAGAAGTCATGTTGACTCCTCTCTTCTCTTACTGGAAAAGATTTCTATATGGGGTCTGAAAATGGACGTTGGAGCCTTACCACCCTCACTTTTTGAAGTATTACATGAGTAGTCTTGAATTCATTGTTACTTAGAATGATTGATGTGATTAATGGTCAGGAACTATGTAGCTTTTCCAAAAAAAAATTCAGTTGTGAGTAAAACTGTAAAAGGTATTAATTATTCAACCTGATGCGTTTTTTGTTTTGTTTTCAGCAATTCTAACATGGTTTCTGTTCTTTTCACCATTTTATAAAATGCCATCCCATCTCCCTATACGTTCTACTGCTGCTTCTTATTATCAAATGCCTTAGCTCTTGGAAAACTGATGCATTGGTTGTGCCTCTAAATAGATAAAACATTTATAGGATTCTTTTCTGGAAACTATTGCTTATCCATATAGCAAGTCTTAAATCTAGTAAGACTTGATCATTTTTAAACCTCACTTGCTTTCCTTGTGCCTTACTTGCTGTTGAACTTGGCTCTTGGAAGAGTTGTGGTATATTGCCTGCATGCTCCCTGTCTTTCTACTTTTTTTAGTCCGTCTTAAAACCAAGAAAAATTTTGGGTTTGTTTTTTTTCTCATATAAAAATCATCGCTCTTCTCTGGCGTTTTAGCAGAACCATCAGTTTTCAGGAGTAAGCTGCCCACTGGCTCCTATAGTTTTTTCGTTGTTTTTTTTTAATTACTTCTGTAATATAAAGCAGTGCATCCTATTTTTTGACACATCCTAAATTCACAGGATGTGAGGAGAGTTGATTTTGGTGGTTCTGGACACCTTTAGATAATAACATCTTTTCCCTACTTTTCTCTCTATCTCTGCTTTGCTCCTTCTCCTGAAACTGCTTCTGGCTTTCTTCACCTACTCCTCTGGCATTCTGTGTGTAAAACCAATCACCTGCATCCTAGTTATCCCCATTTGTCCTCGTTCAGCATCTTCCAGCCCCATCATCATGCCCTACAAAGCTGCACACTCTAGAAACCCAGCGGAACGACCGAAACTCCTTGTAACTCCACCTGAGGGATCTGCGCGCAGGAAGACCATCCACAGCACTGTGGTGAGTAGTGGGACAGCCACCAGTCTCTGTTCCGTTTGTTTCTATGCACAGACAGTATCTCAAAGTCTGCTGTGGGCATTAGACAGGGTGGCCATGACACACCCACTCAGCTGTTACCTGTGGATGGTGGTTGTGGAGGTCAAGATCTTAGATTCTTGGCATCTCCAACAAAGCATTGGTGAATATTCACACACAAAAGTGGCAAAGCAAGGAGTTTAATAGGAGTGAAAGTAAACCCTTAAAGGGAAGGGCAGGCTCTAGCTAGATGGTTCAAGAGCCAAATTAGAGTAAAATTTCCAGCTCCCCATGCAGAAAATGAGAGTTAAAAACTCAAAATAGCAGTGGATCCCTTTTGTCTTTATTCTTTCTCAGCTGGATGAATACATGTGGTCAGGTCTAGCAACCTACAACTTTGAAGCAATGGTTCTGGGTAGCCAGGATGTATGTTGCTTAGTATTCCAAGATACTCTGGGCCTACCAAAAACATAGGAACAATAGGTGAGCTTCAGGGCTTTGTTTTCTCAGATAAGCTTCCCATCTGCCTTCTATCTTGTGCAGAGAATTGCCAGATTTTTACTCTTTGAAAGGAGAGGTTAGTTTTAGATAACTAGACTCTTTTTGATCTCCCAGACATTGTGATTTAGCATTTAAATGGAGGAAAGCTTAACTGCTTTGTTACTTCTTGTTTTCACCTTGACTCTGGCCCTTGTATATTTATTAAAAATAATATAACTTCCCTGTCTCCTCTATCTCTCTTGCCACAATACCCATCACAAATCTGGCTGGTTGGCTGGCCAGGTGGTCCTGTCCCCCCACTTCCTCTCCACTTGAGGGGTTGTGCTTTTGGCTACAGATATGAACTTGAAAATGAAAACTGTTCTTTGCTTTTCTTCAGTGAGTGGCCTGAACTGGCCTGTTGGGAATGCCAGACAAATAAGTGCAATTCCAGCGTACTTTCATTTTTGTAAGTAAGAAACCAAATAGCCTTTGCAGGGGAAATGGCCTGGACGCCTGCCCCGACTCTTCTCCCAGCCATATCAGAGACTGCAATAACTAGTGTCCCTCACTAGAAATCAAAATAAGAGATTTCTGTCTTGCTAACTAATCTTTGTACAGCCTAGATCTTAAGATGTGTTGGAAATGGAATTTTGAAAACACTAGTTGTTTGCTAAGAAACCAACTCTTGAAAGGGCATCAGACCCTACTGTAAACTGAAGCTTTACAAGTGAGGATATAATGTGTGCTTATTATTACTGGCAAGGTAGCCAAGCTACTATGAGGTAATTTGTATGTCTCTAGAAGCCTCTTTGCACCTTTGTCCTGAAATATGAATTTGGTATGGCTGAAGGATACAGACCTTGTTCTGTGGTCTTTAAAAGACTCATCAATCCACCAGATCTTGTTTCTCTCTGTATATTTACACCCAGGAGCCACATCTCTGGCTAAATTCCTGGTTGGCCATCAGGAGAGGGGTGATGCTTTAGTCTGTCCTCACATTTCAGTTTCATACCTGGTAAAGAACTGTGGAGAAACCTAAAATTCTTCACCTTCAACCTGACTTTCCTTGGAAAGCAAGAGGAAGTTACATGAGGAAAGACCAGTTTCTCTATCATTATAAGGGGTAAAGAGAGAACAGTGTTGTCTGAAGCAGCAGGCACGTAAAACTCTGTTACCTGGCTTATGGCTCTGCTGTTGAATATTCTAATTGTGGTTGTGTCATGCACAGAGAAATCTAACTGCTGAGTTTCTGTAAATTCAGGGCCACAAAAGAGAGAGAGAGAACGTGCCCTTCCACCTGACCTCTGGCACCCGAAGAACTCTTTCCCCATCTAATCCCAAAGGGAGGCCAACAGCGCCCTCACGCCTCTGGTAAGGAGATACGCATGCTCACTGGGCTACATACAGCACAGCTTGTCATCAAAGCTGTTGACTCAGGAAGAAAAGCCTTGTTTAATGCAAAGAAAAAGAAAACATTGGGATGGGTTCCTACAGGGGATCCATTTGCTAACTAAAAGTGTTCCTAGTTGATTGTCTGCACTGCTTTTCTAGAAATCAGTATCTGAGGGCCCAAGAAATCCATTCTCACATACCCAGTCTCCCTGTCATTCCTTTGCTGCCCAGGCTGCCATCCAAGTCCTTGCCTCACTTGCCTGGTACACCCCGACCTGTGTCCTCCTTGCCTCCTGGCTCAGTGAAAGCTGCTGCTCAGGCCCGGCCCCCATCCCCTGGAAACATCCGCCCTGTCAAGAGAGAAGCCAGAGCAGAACCTGAGAAGAAAGACCCAGAGAAGGAGCCACAGAAAGGTGCCAATGAGCCCTCACTAAAGGGCAGGACACCTTTGGTGAAGGTAGAGGAGGCCCCCATTGAAGAGGGGACACCTGTGGAAGCAGAAGCTGGCCCTGGTAAGAGTGGACCGATGTACGCTGGGACATTGGCTGCTGCGCTCTCTGCTTTTCTTTCCCTCATATGCTGCTTTAGTTAGCTTTGCTTTTTTTAAAAAAAATTAGAGAACTTGGAGATTTGACTGAGGCTTATTTTATATAAAATGAGAGAGCTACTTGGTACAGGTGGCTCATGCCTATAATCCTAGCTACTCAGGAGGCTGAGATCTGAGGACCAAAGTTTGAAGCCAGCTTAGCAGGAAATTCCCTAAGACTCTTATCTCCAGTTAACCAGTAGAAAGCTGGACATGGAGGTGTGGCTCAAGTAGTAGAACACCAACCTTGAGAGAAAAGTGAGAACTCAAGCTCCTGAGTCAAGGCCATAGTACCAGCACAGAAAGAGAAAGAAGGGAAGGAGGGAAGGAAGGAAGAATAAAGGAAAGAAGGAAGAAGGGAGGGAGGGAAAAAAGGAAAGGGAAGAGATAAA